GTGGCAGAAGAGAGGCTAAGACAAAAAAGCCTTAAAAGGAATCACGACAAAAGGGAAGGCAGGACTGGGCTACTTTCCTAGTAAACGTTACGATAAGGCCCAAGGTAAAGAAAGGTGCCAGTTATTACAAAATGAAGTTCGAGCAGGTGTTGAGGAAAACCATTACATAAGTATGGTTGGGCTGCACCAACAAGGAGCGTGGACAAAATGGGAAGAAACTGAAAAGCGTAAGATATATTAGACAGATTGCTGGCGCGCTGACTTTAGTAGAATTCAGTTCCTACTAAAATCGGTCTACGACGTTCTCCAAAGTCCAGAAAGTGAGGATTGCTGCAGAACATATTAAGCAGCTGCTCAAAGGCTTATGAGATGGTCGGTATTGTTGGCGCCATGACCAGGTCCCCAGAGCCTTTGCAAACGCAGTTACGAAAGCCAAGCAGGGTTAAGAGAGCCACTAATACATTTTATTAAGGCCAGGGGAAAGAAAACAGGATCTGAAAAGAACACCCCAAACATAATTTCAACAGCATCCGATTGGCAGCTGATCGCAGACCCGAAAAAAAATCAATTGAAATTCTCAAGTCATATAGTACAGAAAACACTTCGCCCCTATCTATTAGCTTATTCGAATAGCACAAAGAAGTTAAGAATTTGGGAATTATCGGTTGCTTGGGGGGGGGGGACATCACGCTGGCCAATGAAAGAAAGTGTTAGAAATTCCAGGAATTGGTCAAAAGGTGCCAGCAAAATGGATGTAAAACTTACTTCAATCCGATAGCAATGTAGTGCAGAAGTTTTGTAGGAGTAAAGCATTAGCGAATATTGGAATCGTGAGAGCTGCAAAAAAGAAAGTACTAAAAGAAATCTCAGATGTAGCTGAAGAAGGATCTTGATGGATTTGGCTGAAAAGGAATAATCCGTGGATTAAAGAATGAATAAATCTGTTCGTTGAATGAAACCGTTTCTTTTTTGTCTTTTTGTTTTTTTCCTCAAGTAAATGTAAAAGAAAAAGACTTACCATAAAGTTGGCGCATGTGCAGAAGACGTAAAACTAGAAAGCGCGCGCATGTCGCACCTTTGTTCTGATACGTCTAGACAGCAGACAAGCAAATTCTGATTGGCTAATGCAAGTCTCGTTGATATTATAAAAGAAAGATCTACCTCGTGATTATTAATACATTTTCTGTTATTAAAATCTCATTGTGGAGGGAATTATGCGGAGATGCGGCCTGTTAACAGGTCGGGGTTCCTGGCAGAATGGATATGATGTTGCAATGTTAACAAATACAAACGTTATTAAATTGTGAAATCTCTTGGTGACCTTTGGACCACCCTGTAAAGTAAATATTATGAGCCTTATTATCATTATTATTTGTTTTTTTGTCTCTCGGATATTTTTCAGTGGCCTGTTATATATATATATATAATCCTCGTTGAAAACGCAACTATACTTAAACATGAAAACAATAAACAAGAACTAAAAAATGTTGAAGCTATATACATAAAACAGTTGAAACCTAACCTGAAGAAAATAAACTACGAAATCCCCACAAACATTCTTAAATGCCTATAATTGATAACAGAAGTCATTGGTTTATACCAACGGCTTCCCACAATTAATACTCTCGTTTTCACTCTCTCGTGGTCATGTGTAACGTCACGAGCTGCGACGCGATTTTCGCTTCCGCGTCTCGTATACACGAGTTAGTCTTTACTTTGAAATTTTTCATGCAACAAAAACAAACTATCATTATTGTTTCGTCCATGTATTTTTTGATATATTGAAATGTAATTGTCATCTTTCATAATGTAAAGGTAAAAAAATCCGTTAGTATATGATTCAAGTAGTTTCTAATAATATGAAAATATTCGAACTCATCCACATAAAAGAACTTGATGTATTTTACTTAATTTATATAGAGCAATATAAGGAATTTTAAGGAATTTCTAGGGACCGACAGCAATCCTGGTATAGAACCCTCCTGTAGTTGTTGATCAAAAGATAATTGCAAAACAAGCATGGTTATGTATCAAGCGACCATTTCCCCCTAAAGAAAATATGGAAACTAAAAAGTTTGCATTGGAATTTCCGTGGGGGAATGGAAACAAAGATTTTATACCGATAAGCATAAACTTAAACATAAACCGATCTTTCAAAAAAATTTGGGAAACTGAAAGTCTAAACCCACATATTGTTTAGAAAATTATAGGTTCTGCAAAAACACCTAATAGTTTTAGAAACAGGTGTGATTTTTGCTTAGAAGAAAAAAATCAAAATATTAAAATGCAATAACGAAAGCCAACTATTGAATCGAATTAGTGTTTAAATGTCGATATAAAAACAAATTCAACTCATGCGATAAGATAGTTTTGCCTTAATTAGCTACCAAAAATCACATGTCGACTCCCATCTCTTCTAACTCTTCAAACGTCGACATAATAAACTAAAAACTAATTCTACTTCCCATAGTGGAATTTTGCGTTACTTAGCTACGCTAAGTCACTGCCCTCCCCGTCGAAAGTCTTTTATAGTATATTAATTATAATTTATAAACTTTCATCTACTTCTATTGAATAACTCTCTAACTCTCTTTCCATTAGTCATTAATTCAAAATTAAGAAAGAAATTAAAAACGGCCCAAAAATAAATTGAAAAAAATCTATAAAGATATGTAAGTTCTAAACTTCGTATGGTTGCTTTAATTTCGGGTGAAAATAAATAGAATTTTATATGTCATCGTGTGAGCCGAAAACTTAGATTAAGGACCAGCTTAATAAAAAATATCCAAATGTTGGACAATTTTGCCTTCATTTTCATTCGAAATTAAAGCAAACATACGTATTTTAGAACGGCTCATGATCAGACATAATAGACATTCGTTGTCTGTTATATTTAACAATATATGTTTAAATAATCATCTACTGCCTCAATACACTATATATATATATATATATATATATATATTAAATAAAAAACAGACCACTTTAAGGTTCCATTTAATAAATTATTTCACCACAACTCTTTTAAAAGGACTGCGGATCATCAGACTTTACTTCGAAACAAAAAATGAAAAGAAAATTTACACATTTTTGACGTGCCGTATTAAACATATGTAAATTAACGTCAAAAATGTGTAAATTTTCTTTTCATTTTTTGTTTCGAAGTAAAGTCTGATGATCCGCAGTCCTTTTAAAAGGGCTGTGGTGAAATGATTTATTACATGGAACCTTAAAGTGGTCTGTTTTTTATCTAAATTATTTGCCCTGAATTTACATTGAGCTCTCTGAATTTTATCCTCCTTAGGTTTACCCATACGGATTACTTAGTTTTTCATAAACTATATATATATATATATATATATATATATATATATATTAGAAATAAGTATATATATATAAGTATATAACTGCTCTGATGAGCTGCTCTCTCTGGTTCCCAGACTCCATGAATTCAAGCACCCTACGAGGCTGGCATCCCGCTCTCACCCTTACACCGTAGAAACCTTCAAATGTAGCCGTCTCTTCTACTCCAATAGTTTCATACCTCACACCTCTGGCCAGTGGAACACCCTCCCCAATTACTGTTTCCCTGAAAGCTATAATCTCTAACTATTCAAATGTAATGTCAATCGACATCTCCAATTACCTTGAATCTACCCACATCCTTTTCCTCTTCCTTTCTCCTATCACTCTTATCTGCTCCTCGCTCCAAATCTTCCGCAACCCCTGCATCCTAGTGGCTTCACGCCTTGCTTGGGGCACAATGCTTAAAAAAAAAAAAAAAAAATCTCTCGATCCTGCTTAAATCTTTCTTCGAATGCTAATCTTCACGCATAAAATAATTCCCACCTTCAAGAGAGGACGATTATCGACAGGAGAATATATGGTTCACTTTCGGGACTGACAAGCTGACTGTAATTGACGCCATGCACAATTAAATAAACTGTCCATGGTATGACGATAAACTACATCTGGCAGCAACGCCCCTGATCGGGAAGTTTTGAGGAGCGTGGAGCCACCTCTTAATAGCTGTTGTTCTCAAGTTCACCTGTTAGTGTTCCAACTGTGGACAAATAGCTAACCTACAAAGTAAACACTATGAAAATATAAAAATATTTGTTATAGTAAAAATACCAGCAATACAAAAAAAAGAGCAGCAATATATGTATAACGATAAAGTTACTATCACTCCCAGTCCGTACGATGTCGGCGATATGACTCTTCCCATTTTCCTATCCTCTGAGTAATGTTTATCACCTTATCATCCAAGCAAGTCTCTGTCGTGTCATCCATTTATACAAGCAAGTTAGATAGGTTACACGATGGTTCCATCAGGGCCTCTTGTTTGTGAGTGTCAAATCTATCCAGCCCATTTTCCTAACTATTTTTTAAGCATTTCACCCCAATCAAGGCAGAAGTGCCACTAGAACGTAAGGGGCTACAGAGAGTGAGCACAAGAGTAAAGAGGAGTGTTCGAGGAAAGGACACAGAGAAGGACGGGTATCAAGATCAAGGAATCAGAAGATGTCGATTGACATTACATTTGTATATTTCAAGATTATAGCAAGAGGAAGGGAGTTTCACAGACTGGAAGTGCTGGTGGAGCAGAAGAGAGGGATACATTTAACCGTTTCGACAGTGAAAGGGTGGGACGGAGATGCCAACCTAGTAACACGCTTAAAGACAGAGGAAAGCCACAGCATGTCTGTGAGAAAGCGACTGTAGACGAGATGCCAGATCAGGACCTATCACATTGCATGTGTGTTCTTGGAATTTCAGTTGTCTATTAAGTGTTAAAATTAGTTTAAATTTTGCTGCAGCTAATGTTAGTGCTTATAATAAACGTGCTTCTTTCAAGAATTTCGTCGCCCTAATTTAGTGGAGCGAATTACAAACGACATATTCTTTAATTTCGACGGAATTTACATTTGAATAAACGACTCCGATTTCCAACCTGCCAACAAAAGTATGGTGAACTTTTTGACTCGTCGGATACATTTCTAGGAGGTTTGTAGCGATGCAATCACAAAAGTATACTTCATTGAATGAACGACGAAATAGGCCTCTTTTCGTGAAGACAAGATTGAATAGTGAAAGAAAAGAAAAGAAGACGCGGAAGAATACAAGAAGCAGGAAAAAAAGAAGAAAGAAAGAAAGTCAAACGACTTGCTCGTTTGAGACAAAAGACAAATGCATGCAGGAAGAAAAATGCCTCCATCACACCGCCCCTCCCGCTCAATAAGAAAAAGAACAAAACCAAAAAAAAAGGTAAGCAGAAGTATTGTGCGCAAATTAGGCAAAGCGAGTAGTTCGACATCAGCTCCGGATAATGATGGCTCTAGACCCTTGCAAATAATAGCGGCTTCCGTAACGGCGTTGGGAACAAACGCACGTGATGGGCATTTGTGAACACGGTGGGTTTCAAAGAATGGAGACGGGTAGCACGGCGGGAAGGGGACTTTGCACGCAAATACAGCGAATTACGACGGTGCTGTGACGAACAAATAGCTGAACAACAACACAAAAAAAAAATATATGCATTGAAGGGTGTACAATATGCTCGAGTTTACGCGAGAAAAAGTTTTTATGTCTAGATAGATAGATAGATAGATACTCACACAGCTATGAACGGAGTGAGATATACCTGTATGATGTACACCAATATGTCTGAATATAGATAGATAGATAGATAGATAGATAGATAGATAGATAGATATGAAAAGACAGCGATTGACAAAAGGAAAGGAAGCAAGAAAATGCAGAAAGAAAGAAGGAACGAGCGAACTAATAACGACAGAGAAAAAGAAATAGAAAATGAGAATGATAGATATTAACTGATTTATATAGGTAATAACAAAAATTGATATACAGATAGATACATATACAGATAGATAGATAGATAGATAGATAGATAGATAGATAGGAATGTACCAGATAGATATGAACAAACTGAGATAGATAGATAGATAGATAGATAGATAGATAGATAGATATAGGCATGAAGTAAGAGAGAAAGATAGAGAGCATGGAATTGATAAATTTATATACATATGATCCAAATGATAGATAAGATAGATAGATAGATAGATAGATAGATAATGAAGAGACCAGATAGATAGATAGATAGATAGATAGATAGATAGATAGATAGATAGATATGAACAAACTGAGATAGATAGATAGATAGATAGATAGATAGATAGATAGATAGATAATGAATAGAAGATAGATAGATAGATGATAGATAGATAGATAGATAATAGATGAACAAACTGAGATAGATAGATAGATAGATAGATAATGAAGAGACCAGATAGATAGATAGATAGATAGATAGATAGATAGATAGATAGATAGATAGATAGATATGAACAAACTGAGATAGATAGATAGATAGATAGATAGATAGATAGATAATGAAGAGACCAGATAGATAGATAGATAGATAGATAGATAGATAGATAGATATGAACAAACTGAGATAGATAGATAGATAGATAGATAGATAGATAGATAGATAGATAGATAGATACGCACACAGCTATGAACGGCGTGAGATATCCCTGGATAGAGTTATAAAGGAATCGGATACCATGAACCGAACATGTGAGCAACGACGAGGTTTTAGGGAAAATGAAAATGAAAAATAAACATTTAGCGTCAGGAAGAGGCAGTTGACATTTTTTAGGGCACTTAATGAGGACAGCGGTCTTATGTTTTGTTCGTTCCGACTAACAATTATTCAGACGACAATTTAGCCATCGCACCCTGTCACTCTTGAAACAATTGGTAAAGAATTTCTTTTGTTCTTCATGATCATTCTTCTACGAACTATGAACACCTATGCCATATAATATCGAGGAAGTGTATATCAGTCAGGGTTCACTATGATTTTTTTTTTAGTCTGGTCAATGGCCAAAAGAGTGTGGGAGACATGCAACTTGGATCGAACTTATTTCGCAGCATTAATTGCCTGCAAAGCGCGCTCACGTTAACCCCTGTCGAAAAGCCGGATCAATTTATCAATAAACCACTAGTCAATAGTGTATATTTATCGCATGCAAAAGGTTACTACAATTTTTGTTGGGATGTCGAGGTGTTTATTTAAGGGCAGAGTTCCAGCAAAACTGGCCACTGTTCAATCGTATCGTTTGGACAAGAAAGTCGATTGTTCCCTTCAAGATTACCCACACCCCGCTTCTTTTTACGTGTCCTGTTCATTGGAATTTAGTCAAAAACTTTCAACTCAAAATATTCGGATCTATCAAAAGTCTTTTCAGTTTTTACAAACCTGTTTTCTAAACTTAATCCCTCCTGGGTAAGACGATAAACTACATCCAGTAAGCAAGGCCTCAGAATCGAGAGATAGAAGGATTTTAGGAGCGTGGAAGCACCCCTTAATTGCTGTTGTTCCCCGGTCTACCCTGACCCGGTGTGGTATCACTTGTTAGTACCCCAGCTATGGAAAAAAAGGGAACCAACAAACAAAAACAAAATACTATGAAAGTATTTACATTTTTATAGTAAAATCGCCATTGACTTCAATTAAAGCCTCCAGATGACATCGGGATCTTCTGCATCTATTCTGGACAGTCTCCTTGTTTAAGTTGGTGAACGCTGTTGGTGAATTTTGTTGGTCTCTCTCTCAACTGTGCTTCACACAAAACTAATAAAACTCAAGGTCTTGTAATCATGTCTACACAGATTGCAGTCTGAATGGGACATGAAATTACGGGTGGCCAGATATAATGGGTTGATTTAGTCGCAGAAATTGTGTCTTACAAAACATAACTTTATCAAAAACCGACTGGGTCCCTCTCCTGCTTGTGTGGCATGGTGAAGAGGCCTGTTGCTTAGATATTTCATTAAAAGTATATCTCTCTTAACCCAGTATAGCAATAATGGACACACGTAATAAGTTTTTTAAACTAAATAGTTGGTAATATTTCTATAAATATATTTTCAAATATTTTTCTTTAGAAATTTCTTTATTGAAAAGACTACCTTGAAATACTAAACGAGTTAATCTTATTCAATAAAATCGCCATTGGGGTCTTCAATTAAAGAGAGTCCCCGATAAATTGTCAGACGACATCATTTTAACAGATCTTCTGCATCTATTCTGGACGACAGTCTCCTTGTTTAAGTTGGTGAATACTGTTGGTGAATTTTGTTGCTCTCTCTCTCTCTCTCTCTCTCTCTCTCTCTCTCTCTCTCTCTCTCTCTCTCTCAACTGTGCTTCACACATAATAGTCAAGAGGGTTGCAGTCTGTGGAGTTAGGTGTCCATATATATGGTGTGATGTGGTCGCAGAAATTGTCTCACAGCCACGACTGGGTCCTCCTGCTTGTGTGGCATGGTGAAGAGGCCTGTTGCCAAGCCACCCTCTTAACCCAGTATAGCACTACCACCTCAAGTCACTTGATGTAGTCGTCTGTGTTGAGTCAGAGGCCCTATGAGAAAATGAATGGAGGCATAACGTCGCCATCACTAGCGATCAATCCAAACCCAATTATGTTGACTGGATATTTGGTTTTCCTCGTTGTCTGCACATCTTTTGGGGACAAACCACGCCAACAGTTGCTCTGTGTGTTCAACATCTTATCCTGGCAGAAATTCACACAGTCTGAGAAAAACCAAAGCAAGTTCTGTTGGAGGGGATTCTTCAGTTTGTTCAAGAGCTTCGTAGCGCGATTTTTCCTCTTGTCTTTCTTGACTTGGAATAAATATTGGCCTTTTCTCATCTCCTACGAGAAATACCAAATGTCTTCATGCACTACTAGCCTGATAAGAAACTCAAACATGATGATTCTCTAAAGCTGAAAAGTTGATTAAGAAAGCAGAAAAATATAGGGAACAAAAAGCCCTTGTTAGAATTAATATGAAATTTAAATAATGAACAATCTCAAGAAACCTTCGTCCCCACGCCAGTTTTATACTGAAGTTCGTATAAGCCGATGACTTTGGGAGTTCGGAGACTTGGCCTGAGAACTCCCGTATCGAGTAACTTCCGGAATCCACGTCAGCTGCGACAACATTTCCTGATTCCGAGGAACTTTGAACCCAAATTATTAGACGAGGCACAGTGTCACTATAGATATTGATGCGGCAAAGGTTAAATTTATTTGTACCAAGAGCTATATAAACCAGCTGAAGATTAACAACAACTTCCATAATATAGCACCCTCCACGGCTTGAACCAGCGCTACGAATACTACGCCGTTCGATCTTCCATTGCTATGAGATCAAAAACACAACATAGACAGAGTTGGTGCGGATCGAAGCGGCCAGCGACCAAGATCCAGGTTGAACAACCGTCAGCAATGAGCAGCGCCGAGTTAGCCCTGTGGTTAAAATGCCGTCCTAAGATACTGAGGGACGGACGACTAGTGTAGGCAGCGGCAGTTGTTACATTTGCATCAAGCGCTTGCATGAAAAATATTACAATTTTGGAGAGGTCCCGCATTAAACATATACGTATATAGTGACGTGGCATATAGAGGTTAAAATGAACAGTTGGCTTATCCACACTTAGAAGATTAATGAAGGATTATAGTAACGAGGAAACCCAACAGTAATTTTAACGAAACAAGATAAGGTATTTATTTACGAATTCACAGTGTCAATAGCTCATTTCAGGAAAATAAATCAGAAATTTTTAATGTCCGTAGTTTTAACGAATTGTAATGAAGAGGAAATGTTCATACAACAGATTAAATGATCTGACATAAAATAATATTTAAAAAAATGTTTAAAACAAAGGTAAGAGATTTCATTGTTCATAGAAGGGACATAGGGTTGCATACATTCAAAAATAGACGAAGAGAGATATTTTGAAAGTTCTTTGTCGTGAGTCGTGCTTGGTTAAAAGCTGATAATGTAATTGTCGAGTAATTTGACACTGGCGAAAACTTCTGCGCTTGACGCGGTGAACAGAAACGAAACCTTTCACATGACTTCAGACTCACTTCCCTTATTAATTTAATTTTTTTCTCCTCATTTTATACCAAGAGCAATTTCGCATAGGTTCACTACTTACTTTTCTTTCTTCTTGGCTCTTTAGCTAATTTCTGTGAAGACAAGGTTTTCATTGGTGCAAAGAAAATTTCACATACGTTCGCGAATTCCTTTCCATCTTTTTTCTCAGTTCACCCGAATTTGAAGGCAGGGGGACGTAAAGGGATTTGTTATTAGTTCGTACTCACTGCACCTATTACTAGGCTGAAAACCGAGAACTGATCTAACAGCTTTTCCAAGGGGTAATGTTCCGTGTTCTGTATGCGATGTGGAATGTTGTTTAGGTACAGACACAGGCAGTGCATCAAGGATCGAAAAATTAGTATAGGAGATAAGGAAAGTGAATATAGGAGGCTCTTTTGTTCAACACCGGAAGACGTAGCAAAACTTAAACATTAACCTGAGAACATGAGTAATGTTTTTAAATATCATTGTCATATCGAGACTTTCATGTCGTTGTTGCCAAACATTTTATAAACATTTCCCCACAAGCAAGATGGGAATGCAACTAGTACGCGAGGCGGGGTACAGGGAATGAAACTGAAGGGGATTGGAAACAGAGAGCAGTGAGTAAATGACAAAAGATGAACGGGCTTCAAGAACATAAAATATGGCGTTTGACGTACCATTTAAATTTTTGAAGATTCTAGTTATCAGGGAAGCAGGTAAACGGAAGGAAGTTCCACAGATGGGAAGTGCGAGAAAAGAAACTGATGGAGTAGAAGTGGCGGTTACATTTAACTATTTCAATAGTAAAAGACAGTGCCCTTCACCTCTACAAGTTCAGCACTGCCTTAACCAAGTATCGAACTCTCAACTCTTTAGGTCCTGTCACTGGATCTAACTAACGCCTTTATCCTCTGTACCATGTGTCCTTAAGGACATCTGTGCATGAATTTCTGGGATTTATAAAATTAATGTCTTCAGCAACCATAAAGGCGTTGATTATATGCAGTGACAGGACCCAAAGAGTTGTGAGTTCAGTACCTGGTTAAGTCAGTGGAGAACATGGAAAGGGGAATTAACAGGAGATAACTGATAACTGACATCCATTAGACATGGCACGTGGAACTAGAACAGTCTATCCCAGCGAACGAAATAAAGGGTTCAGTTCGACATTCCAACTACCCGAAGAAGGCCGGAGCGTACAACGGCCGAAACGTTGTGATAAATATGGCAACATAGAGGCGGACAATAGTATGTAAATGTATATATATATATATATATATATATATATATATATATATATATATATATATATATATATATATGTGTGTGTGTGTGTGTGTGTGTGTGTGTGTGTGTGTGTGTGTGTGCATAGATAGATAGATAATAGATAATATCTGTGGCCAATATATATATATATATATATATATATATATATATATATATATATATATATATATATATATATATATGATCGAAATAAAAGTGTAAAATTTAATATTACAAGACATATTAAAACATTAAATAATAAAAAAAAAAAAACTCAACAACAAGGAGGGAACCCGGTTTCGCTCCCGCTCGTCAAATTTCCACGTGAGATTCAAAATTAAAACAAAGTATGTACAATAAAATAGGTGGGAAAAAAATATATAACATATATACATATATACATATATATTTGTATATATATGCAAGAAAACTTAGAGGCAGATGACAGCGAGCCCCAACAAACACTCACGTTGTTAGCACAAAGAAGGCTTGCAGGACCCGATGTAAAGTGCCTCAGAACCTTCAGATGAAATACAGAGTGTGACCAGGCCAACACACCAACCAGTCGACACTAAATTTGGAAGCATAAATTTATGTCGCCTGTTATTTTTATATACAAATATATATATATTTCCTTATTGTTTTTCCAATTTATTCTTATTGTACATTTCTGTTTTAATTTTGAATTCTCCTGAAGCCTGACGAGCGGGAGCGAAACCGGTTGCTACCCTCCCGCTTGTTGTTGTTGAGTTTGTTTTTTTTTTATTATTATTTAATATGTTTTAATATGTCTTGTAATATTAAATTTTACACTTTTTATTTCGATCATTAAATTTTGTACCTACAAAAATATCTTTAAATATATATATATATATATATATATATATATATATATATATATATATATATATATATATATAAAATTCCCAAGAAGGTAGAATCCAGGTAGAACTCAATGTCCAGGACAGAGGAAGAATACAATTTTTGGGCATATAAATAATAGGTCCTTTCTAGATTAAATATTCTTTAATTTTTATATGTTTATGTTAAATTTGTAACCTGTAGGTGATATTACTTGCTTTGTCAAATATTCTTGATTACACATCAATTCTCTTATAAATGCCCTTTGTTTTTAGTTCACCCACCCCTTTCATTTTTCCCCCTCTCTCTCTCATCTTCTGGATTTTAAGTTTAGATCATATCGTTTTTATTTTTATTGTGCGTAGTGACACCACAAATGTACACACATGTTTCCGCTGTCTGTTAATTTTAGGTCAGCGATTCGGTAGCGAACTATGCATCGAAAAATAATTCCTATTTATCTGTATCTCACTCGTTTAAACCGTTATTTAACTCCTCTCTTTAAAACTTCTCTCTGTTAAATTTTAACCCCCACCTTCAACTTTAGGCCTTTCTGTTCTTCTTTCTTCTGTTACACCCTCTCTCTAGAGCTTTATACATTTCGCTCTCACACTTGTTTCCCACTCTCACACACACACTCTCACTAAAATTTTGTTTTTTTATAACCGGAGTTATATTTTCTGATTTCTTTTAGAATTTGTAGGTCTAATGAATTGGCTCGAGATTACGATTCCAATGTAATAAATTATAACCATGGAATATTAGTGTTTGAGACTTTTTTTATATTATATATATATATATATATGTGTGTGTGTGTGTGTGTGTGTGTGTGTGTGTGTGTGTGTGTGTGTGTGTGTTAGCTCTATCACGGATATTGAACATTTTCCACTAAATACCACGCATATATATATATATATATATATAGGCAGATATTGGCGGTCGATACATATATATATATATATATATATATATATATATATATATATTCCCAAGAGGATAGAATCCAATGTCCACGAGAGAGTAAGAATATAATATCATCAGACATACAAATTAAAAAAAAGAAAGAAAAAGAAAATCGAAAATAATATTTTCCGATTTCTTTTTAAATTTGTAGGTCTGATGAATTGAATTGTGATTACGATTCCAATGTAATAAATTATAACAATGGAATATTAGTGTTTGAGCCTTTTATATTATATATATATATATATATATATATATGTAGTTGCATGGGCTATTTGGTTGTGAGGAAGTATGCAATATTGAGAGTGTGTGCATGTTAATTCTACCTAAAGTGTAAATAGGTAGACAGGTCTATCACCGAGCAGGTATTGTGTAACAGTAAACTATGAGCCGAATACAACCTCATGTGATCTAATATTGAATGATGCAGCCCCAGGTGACTGATGAGTGACCACTGTTCGACAGAATTCTGAGTTGGTTTGGCGGCTGATGCAACCGGAAGACTGAAAAGGCCAGAGACATCATGGAATGTCGATAATTGAGAAGATATCTACAAAAGAAAGAAAGAAAGAAAGAAAGAAAGAAAGAAAGAAAGAAATGAAGAAAGAGAACGAGAGGAAGAAAGAATAAAGAGAAAGAAAGAAAAATAAAGAAAAAATGAACAAAGAAACAAAAAAGAAATAGAGATTGAAAGAAATTAAAAATGAAAGAAAAAGAAAGAAATGAAGAAAGAAAGGAAATGAAAGAAAGAAAGAAAGAATGAAAGAAGGATACGAAGAGTAAAAAATCTGTAAAAAAAAGAAAGAAGGTAGGAAACAAAAAACTTGTAAAGAAAGAAAGAAATATATGAAAAGAAAGAAAGGCAAAAGAAATATACGATGAGTAAGAAAGAAAGACTTATAAAGAAAGAAAGAAATATACGAAAAGAAAGAAATATATGAAGAGCAAATAACAAAGATCTGGAAAGAAAGAAAGAAAGAAAGAAAGAAAGAAAGAAAGAAATATATACAGATTAAGAAACAAAGACTAGAAAAGAAAGAAAGAAATATATAAAAAGGAAGAAAAAAAAGAAAAATATATGATGTGTAAGGAATAAAGTCCGGCAAAGAAAGAAAGAAATATACGAAAAGAAAGAAAGAAATATATGAAGAGTAAAACATAAAGATTTGGAAAGAAAGAAAGAAAGAAAGAAAGAAAGAAAGAAAGAAAGAGTAATAAACAAAGACTTGTAAAGAAAGAAAGAAAGAAAGAAAGAAAGAAAGAAAGAATGAAAGAAAGAAAGAAAGAAAGAGTAATAAACAAAGTCTTGTAAAGTATGAAAGAAGAAAAGAAAGAATATACGACGAGTAACGAACAAAGATCTGTAAAGAAAGAAAGAAAGAAAGAAAGAAAGAGTAATAAACAAAGACTTGTAAAGAAAGAAAGAAAGAGTAATAAACAAAGTGTTGTAAAGTAAGAAAGAAGGAAAGAAAGAATATACGACGAGTAACGAACAAAGATCTGCAAAGAAAGAAAGAAAGAAAGAAAGAAAGAAAGAAAGAAAGAAAGAAAGAAAGGAGAATGGCTTAATGGCGAAAACTATTTGGCGGTCATGGTAGTGGGTAGGCGGGGAAAATTTCCGCTGAGATTGAGCAGTTCCTGCCGCAGTGAAATATTCTGTTATTAATTATGAAATAGGCGAAAGCAGGCGCTCGAAGTTTATATGCCCGCAGTATGCGTGCCAAAATGAGAAAGCGACCCATCAAGAAACAGCGTTTAGAACGTTTTCGGTGACAAAGCTTTGAGTTCGATCCTTATGTCAAGCCCTCACAAAAATAGACACTTTCCATCTGAATTTCTAGCATGATGAATTACCATTATTTACATTCATCTACAGTCCAGATAACATTTTCATCTTTCTGGCTGTGTCAATGTTTCGGCCGTTACTCCTGAAGAAGGCAGTAGAATGAATCTGATTTCAACACTAAAATTGTTATTAGTCTGAAGAAATATTTTCGAAGGACAAGATTTTTCAATTTAGTCATTTAAAATGATTTAATATCGGCTGTGGAGTGTCAGAGGAATTTAAAAAAAAAAAAGAAGCAATTTATTCTGAGCTGTAGTTATTAGAACTCACCTCAATCGTTCCAAATCCCCCCCACACACACACCGAAACTCAATTCGCCAGCTTCATGTCTATCTGTTGTGTCCGAGGCTGTGTTTATTTCCGTCAAATAAGAAGAAACACGCAGTTCGAATCTTTATACATTTTATTCCATATTAGTAAAAAATATGCGTAAACATGACCAATAGATTAATGGTGGATTAAGAGTGTCCGACAGGGAACATGCAGGGATAGACGACAGCCATCTTGAAATACCCTTTCATCTTTTTAGAGAGTTCTGATCTGATCTTCGTTGCGACGTCCGTCCTAATTTTATCATAACCGGGTACTTGGCTAAAACCGGGTACTTGGTTGTATCTGGCAATAATCTTCAAGACAACATTGATATTAATCTGTATTCAAAATGAAAAATTAAAGGTATAGAGAGATTTCTGATGCGATCGAAATGTCGATGGGCTGGTCATGTTCCGCAGTCGAGTGATGAAAAACACCGAAAATCCTCATATGAAGCCGATTGCATGACGTTTTATGAAATGCGTTGAGCTACAAAGAAATTCTATTCGCATCACTCTGTAGACCTTTGAGGGGAGAATTTTACATAAAGTGCCTAAATTCTATTCGCAACAATCTGTAGTCATTTGAAGGGGAGAATTTTGTATCAAGTGTCTAAATTCGATTCGCTTTCCCTGTGTAGTACTTTGTGGGGTAGAAGTTTATATCAAGTACCAGCGTGAAAAAGTATTACAGTTTTAGAGAGGTCACGCATTAAACATATACGTATATAGTGACGTGGCATATAGAGGTTAAAATGAACAGTTGGCTTATCCACACTTAGAAGATTAATGAAGGATTATAATAACGAGGAAACCCACGGGTAATTTTAACGAAACAAGATAAGGTATTTATTTACGAATTCACACGCTTGAATCAGTGTCAATAGCTCATTTCAGGAAAATAAATCAGAAATTTTTAATGTCCGTAGTTTTAACGAATTGCAATGAAGAGGAAATGTTCATACAACAGATTAAATGATCTGACACAAAATAATATCCAAAAATGTTTAAAACAAAGGTAAGAGAATTTGTTGTTCATAGAAGGGACATAGGATTGCATACATTCAAAAATAGACGAAGAGAGATATTTTGAAATACTTAGCGTTCTTGGATTGTTGAGGGAATGTTCTTTGTCGTGAGTCGTGCTTGGTTGAATGCTGATCAGATAATTGTCGAGTAATTTGACACTGGCGAAAACTTTCACGCTTGACGCGGTGAACAGAAACGAAACATTTCACATGACTTCAGACATTCTTTCCTTATTAATTTAATTTGTTCTTTTGGTTTTATATCAACAGGAATTTCGCATGAGCTCGCCAATTTATTTGCTTTGTTCTTGGACCATCGGCTAATTTCTGCGAAGAAAACGTTTCTATTGGTGCAAAAGCAATTTCACATAGGCTCACTAATTTATTTCCGTTTTCCTCTCAGCTCGCCGGTCAGTCTCGGTGAAGAAAATGTTTTCATTAATCTAAAGAAAATTTCACGTAGGCTCACGAATTCCTTTCCGTCTTTTTCCTCAGCACACCCGGATTTAAAGAGTTATTATTTTTTCGTACTCACTACACGTATTACAAGGCTGAACACCGGAGACTGACCTAAGAGTCACGCATCTTTCTCAAGGTGAGTTGTTCCTTGTCCTCTCTGGTCCTATAAACAATCGAAGGTAGAAAGGTTGTTACGAAATTATGTACGAGTGTAAGTCAAACATTTATCCGCACCTTAGCCATAACATATCTTCAGTATTGTCACGCTGCCTTCCGATCATGCGTACTTATATTTGGCACTATTGTGCTTATGTGACCGAAATTTGTGCTTCATCGCGCCAGTTTTCTAGCTGTTGTAACAATGTAAACATGGCCGCTCCGCTATCAGTGTGCACCAAGAAGGCACAAAGATCATTTATCCAAATCTACAGAGAACATATTACCTCATCGATGATACCTCGTCGGTTCACAATCACTCGGGCTTGCTGAATCTGTTCATCAGTCGTGGGGGTTGTCCTGCTTCTTCTTCGTGTGTCACTCTTGTCCGGACACTTTTAAACGTCACAATCCACTAATACACACTCCTAAGCGGTGAGGCACTGATGCCGTATTGCGTTAGAAGCCTCCGGTGAATTACATCCCCTGACACATCTTGCAACCAGAGAAATTGGATCACTACTCACTGAAACTGGCGTGGTCAAACGTCATCTTGGTAGACTTTGACAAATTTTGATCAATAGGACGCAAAGAATAACATGCCAGGGGTATCAGAACTCCTACAAGAACCGCTCCGGTCTTATCCATCACATGCAAACATGGGATATAATGCTGGTAAATGTTGTCCTTGGACAAAAACTGCTGCACAAGCCATGGTCATTGCTGAAACCTCTGTTATGTAGTGAAACGCCCACGCTTTATATTATATAATTTAATTTAATATAAATATGTTTTTTTTAATTTAATATAAATATTTTTTTCCGCTACATAGTTTCTAACCATGTTTCAAAAATTTTTGAAACATGGTTAGAACTGTGTAGTGGAAAAACATATTTTAAATCAATTAATTTATAATATTAATGCTCTGTAAATGTACATTTGAGCACTATTTTGTAAAAATAAAAATATCTATAAGAACACCGGATTATATATCTTACTGTTCTTTCTTTTTTTAAACACATATATATATATATATATATATATATATATATATATATATATATATATGTATGTATGTATGTATGTATGTATGTAGTAAAAATAAGAGAGAAACCGCAAATGTTTTTGGTTGTAATGTGGCTTTTTTAAAAAATATATTATGCTTCATTTTCCATAATTTTGCTACACGTGTTTCCGGTCTGGCGACGTTCATCAGGAAATGCATGGAGATTTCCACATATTATTAAAAATAATTAATTTTTTCTTATATTTTTCGATGTTAAATATTCTCGATATGAAATATTCTCTCTTTTGTGTGTTAGTGACCCAAATGTCTTCCTGAATTGTCAGTGAAAAAGTTCTGCGTGATGGGTTATAAAACAATTAAGATTAGTCCGAGAAATAGTGAAAGAATTATCGGCATTCCTATCTTTTAATGACCCCTTGTGTGTTCTTAGATCTATTTCCAATTTTTGTGATTTTTGTCAGCATGCGTGTATATATGTATATTTCCTCTCCATACATACGCACTGTCTTATTACAAGAAATTAGTAAACACACACCCATATACATATATATATATATATATATATATATAGAAAATTTTATTTCAACATTTTTATATTCAACGTTCTTTTTTTTTAGAATAAAAGTTATTTAAGTTTTATGGACTGAAAGTCCGAGGAATTGTCATTAAATATTCGTCCTTTGACAGGATATTTTCTATGAAAATTTCTCGACATTCAGGCTGGTAAATGTTATTTAATACTGTTTATTATAAACAGAGCATTTACTTAAATACTTGTATCTATAAAAAAGAACGTTAAACATAAAAATGTCTTTTAATAAATAAATTGTCGGACTTGTCCATTTTTTATATATATATATATATATATATATATATATATATATATATATATATATAATGATAAATCAAGAAAACACCTTCAAAATCCATATAATCCCGGTATATTTGTCTGCATGAATTGATTCCATTTCTGAAAAAGTTTCAGTGAAAATAAAAATATTCATGAAATAAATTTTAGCTGGTATGGATTTTAAGATGCTTTTTTTTTAATTTATCATTATATATAGCTCTGTAACTTATATAGAGCTCTCATTGGATTAATGCCCTCCTTAGAATTATCACTACCAACTACAAATTGGTACTATATATATATATATATATATATATATATATATATATATATATATATATATATAGTTTATGCAAATTTAGGTAATCCGTATGGGTAGACCTGTGGAGGATGATATCCAGAGAGCTCAATGTAAAATTCAGAGCAGATATGTTTGAATAAAAGACAGACCACGTTAAGATTCCATGTATTGTTATTTCCCATAACCCCTTTAACAGGGTTCTGGATCATCAGACTTTACTAAAAGCTGAAATGAAAATGAAAAGAAATTCACACGTTTTTGACGGACCTCATCAAGTATACGCAAAGTTAACGAAGTGAGGAAGTGAGGGAGAGCGGATATGAGTGTGTCATATGTATCATTTTAGTTTCCTATTTTAACCCCAGTGTGTTGGCTAGATGTTGCTCAAATTTAACGCGTCTCGTCTCTATATATATAGAAATATATATATATCAAAATATATATATATATATATATATATATATATATATATATATATATATATATATATAACGAGGGGGGTTTGATTGATTTGAACTTTTTTAAAACCCTTTATTCTACAAGCAACACCATCACTTGATAAGACACCTGAAGTGTTGAAACAGAATGCTTATTTTTGTAGTAATTTTCGAATATATATATATATATATATATATATATATATACACTGGGTGTAACAGCAAAATTTTTCTGGTCAGTTCATTCCAGATGCTGAACTTCTAAGGGGTTCAAATAGAGCGATGAAGGAGGAAAAGTTTCTTATCCCAAAACCTGTTCGTGAACGCATCCCTGAGAAATTTTGGGCAACTGCGCTCGTTTGACAAGCAGCTTCATCCTGCTGGAATGTAAACTTGAAGGCCTTATTGATCTTGTTGTGCTTTCGATTGTCTCTAGCCTCAGGATATCCAGAAAGAATCCAGGTCTTTACCTTTTGCAATATTTGAACATAGCAGTCTCCTGTCACTCTCTCATCCTTCAGGATCACTGGCAGCATGTTGCCGTCAGAGTCCACACAGGCAAAAATCATTACCTTGCCAGGGTTTTTACTCTTAAAAGTGATATTCTCCTCTCTTTCGTTAGGATCTGAAGCCAGAATACGGCCATTGCGTCTGTTTGTGTAAGCATCCTGTGTAGAAGATTATTCAGGTCTTTACCTTTTTCAATATTTGAACATAGCAATCTCCTATCACTCTCTCATCCTTCAGGATCACTGGCAGCATGTTGCCGTCAGAGTCCACACAGGCAAAAATCATTACCTTGCCAGGGTTTTTACTCTTAAAAGTGATATTCTCCTCTCTTTCGTTAGGATCTGAAGCCAGAATATTGCCATTGCGTCTGTTTGTGTAAGCATCCTGTGTAGAAGATTATTCCATGATTATTTTCAAACCAATTTAATATGATATTTCACGAACGATTTCATTTTCAAGTCATTTTTCACCGCTCTTTGAATTGCCATGGGAGAAACTCCTCGCTCGCGTGCCAAACTTCTTATGAATTGAGTTGGATCTTTTCTAATTGATCTTTTTAGCTCTAAGTTGAAATGGTGATGCCTCTTCCTAATCAAGGTTTCCTCTTCACTGTTCCCTCTTTTATAAACTTATTTGCCGTTCTGTTGATGGTTCTTGAACGGACTTTGAGATGGCTAAACGTCTTATTGGAAAACTTGAAAAAAAGAAACTTCGTTTAGTGTTTTTTTTAGAAATTAACCATTTTGTGGGATGGGCATTTATCCCTTGCTGTTACACGATTTGGAAAATTTTGCTTTGTTTCTTTTCTTCTCTCCCACTTTCCCTCTTTCCTTCTGTCCCACTTTCATTCTTCCATTCTTTTTTTTTTTCCTTCTTTCCATCTTTCTTTCGGCTTCATTTTTTCCGTTTTCGCATTTGTCTTTATTTATTGTATTATTCATTTCTTTATTCATTCATTGCTTTTTTTTCTTTTTTCTTTGACTCTCTTTCCCTTTCTGTTTTCTTCAAACGCTTACCTTCTTTTTTTCTTTAACTTTCTTTTACTTTCCTTTTTCCATGATCACCTTTCTTTCTTTCTTCCTTTCTTTAAAATCTTTGCTTTCTTTTTCTTTTTCCTTTCTTTCCATTTCTTTCATTTATTTTCTTTCCTTTTTCTTTGACTCTCTTTTCCTTTCTTCAAACGCTTTCCTTCTTTTTCCTTTAACTTTCTTTTACTTTCTTTTTTCCATGTTCACCTTTCTTTCTTTCTTTCTTTCTTCCTTTCTTTCTTTCTTTCTTTGAAATATTTGCTTTCTTTTTCCTTTCTTTCCATTTCCTTTATTTATTTTCCTTCTTTCATCTAATTTACTTCCTTATTCTCTGACTTTCTTTCAATTTACTTTTTCTTATATTATTAGTTCAGCCAATACAAGAACCACTCAAGCTAGAGTGTTACTGAGTGACATTGTTGTAAGTGAGGGGAATATATATCGGTTCACCCTGAACATGAAGAAATCAACATTTTCTTTGTTAGGAAAGCATCTTCTCCGAAGCGTGTTCCACAAAAGTTCTGGGAATGAAGTCATCAAAGAAACCCAAAGAGAATGGAGGAATTATTGTTGCTGTAAACACGTCATGGAGGGTCCTAGTTGCGAAGGTCTGACTCAGTGGAACTAAGGTATATAACTCTCCCGAACATTATTTACATTATTCGGACTATTGTCCTCATCTTTGTTGCCATATTTATTCCAACGTTTCGGCCGTTGTACACTCCGGCTTTCTTCAGGTGGTTGAAATGTCGAACTTTATTTCGCTTGCTGGGATAGACTGTTCTAGTTCCACGTGCCATGTCTAATGGATGTCAGTTATCAGTTATCTCCTGTTAATTCACCTCTCCAAGTTCTCCACTGCTTTAACCAGGAATTGAATTCACCACACATTGGGTCCTGTAACTGGATCTAACGAACGCCTTTATCCACTGTGTCATGTGTCGTTAATGACGTTGTGATAAATATGGCAAAAAAATACGTGGACAATAGTCTGACTAATATAGTGTACATAATACCACATCTCATAAATATAGACAGATACTGAAAAGCCGAAACGTTGTAATAAATATGGCGACATAGATGAGAACAATAGTACGAATAATGTAAATAGTGTACATAATACCTCATCTCAGAAATATCGACAGATACTGAAAGGCCGAAACGTTGTAATAAATATGGCGACAAAGATGAGGACAATACTCTGAATAATGTAAATAGTGTACACAATACCTCATCTCAGAAATATAGACAGATACTGAAAGGCCGAAACGTTGTAATAAATATGGCGACAAAGATGAGGACAATAGTCCGAATAATGTAAATAGTATACATAATACCTCATCTCAGAAATATAGACAGATACTGAAGGGTCGAAACGTTGTGATAAATATGGCAACAAAGATGAGGACAATAGTCTGAATAATGTAAATAGTATACATAATACCTCATCTCAGAAATATAGACAGATACTGAAGGGTCGAAACGTTGTGATAAATATGGCGACAAAGATGAGGACAATAGTCTGAATAATGTAAATAGTATACATAATACCTCATCTCAGAAATATAGACAGATACTGAAGGGTCGAAACGTTGTGATAAATATGGCAACAAAGATGAGGACAATAGTCTGAATAATGTAAATAGTATACATAATACCTCATCTCAGAAATATAGACAGATACTGAAGGGTCGAAACGTTGATAAATATGGCCACAAAGATGAGGACAATAGTCTGAATAATGTAAATAGTATACATAATACCTCATCTCAGAAATATAGACAGATACTGAAGGGTCGAAACGTTGTGATAAATATGGCAACAAAGATGAGGACAATAGTCTGAATAATGTAAATAGTATATAATAATACCATCTCAGAAATATAGACAGATACTGAAGGGTCGAAACGTTGTGATAAATATGGCAACAAAGATGAGGACAATAGTCTGAATAATGTAAATAGTATACATAATACCATCTCAGAAATATAGACAGATACTGAAGGGTCGAAACGTTGTGATAAATATGGCAACAAAGATGAGGACAATAGTCTGAATAATGTAAATAGTATACATAATACCTCATCTCAGAAATATAGACAGATACTGAAGGGTCGAAACGTTGTGATAAATATGGCAACAAAGATGAGGACAATAGTCTGAATAATGTAAATAGTATACATAATACCTCATCTCAGAAATATAGACAGATACTGAAGGGTCGAAACGTTGTGATAAATATGGCAACAAAGATGAGAACAATAGTCTGAATAATGTAAATAGTATACATAATACCTCATCTCAGAAATATAGACAGATACTGAAGGGTCGAAACGTTGTGATAAATATGGCGACAGAGATGAGGACAATAGTCTGAATAATGTAAATAGTATACATAATACCTCATCTCAGAAATATAGACAGATACTGAAGGGCCGAAACGTTGTGATAAATATGGCGACAGAAATGAGGACAATAGTCTGAATAATGTAAATAGTATACATAATACCATCTCAGAAATATAGACAGATACTGAAAGGTCGAAACGTTGTAATAAATATGGCGACAGAGATGAGGACAATAGTTCGGATAATGTAAATAGTGTACATAATACCTCATCTCAGAAATATAGACAGATACTGAAAGGCCGAAACGTTGTAATAAATATGGCAACAAAAATGAGGACTATAGTCTGAATAATGTAAATAGTATACATAATACCTCATCTCAGAAATATAGACAGATGCTGAAAGGCCGAAACGTTGTAATAAATATGGCAACAAAGATGAGAACAATAGTCTGAATAATGTAAATAGTATACATAATACCTCATCTCAGAAATATAGACAGATACTGAAGGGTCGAAACGTTGTGATAAATATGGCAACAAAGATGAGGACAATAGTCTGAATAATGTACACAGTGTACATAATACCTCATCTCAGAAATATAGACAGATACTGAAGGGTCGAAATGTTGTAATAAATATGGCAACAAAAGATGAGAATTAATAGTCTGAATAATGTACATAGTATATAATATTTCATCTCAGAAATATAGACAGATACTGAAGGGTCGAAACGTTGTGATAAATATGGCAACAAAGATGAGAAATAATAGTCTGAATAATGTAAATAGTATACATAATACCTCATCTCAGAAATATAGACAGATACTGAAGGGTCGAAACGTTGTAATAAAAATATGGCAACAAAGATGAGGACAATAGTCTGAATAATGTAAATAGTATACATAATACCTCATCTCAGAAATATAGACAGATACTGAAGGGTCGAAACGTTGTGATAAATATGGGTAACAAAGATGAGAAACAATAGTCTGAATAATGTAAATAGTATACATAATAATTCATCTCAGAAATATAGACAGATACTGAAAGGTCGAAACGTTGTAATAACATATGGCAACAAAGATGAGGACAATAGTCTGAATAATGTAAATAGTATACATAATACCTCATCTCAGAAATATAGACAGATACTGAAGGGTCGAAACGTTGTGATAAATATGGTAACAAAGATGAGAACAATAGTCTGAATAATGTAAATAGTATACATAATACCTCATCTCAGAAATATAGACAGATACTGAAAGGCCGAAACGTTGTAATATAATATGGCAACAAAGATGAGGACAATAGTCTGAATAATGTAAATAGTATACATAATACCTCATCTCAGAAATATAGACAGATACTGAAAGGCCGAAACGTTGTAATAAATATGGCAACAAAGATGAGAACAATAGTCTGAATAATGTAAATAGTATACATAATACCTCATCTCAGAAATATAGACAGATACTGAAGGGTCGAAATGTTGTGATAAATATGGCGACAGAGATGAGGACAATAGTTCGGATAATGTAAATAGTGTACATAATACCTCATCTCAGAAATATAGACAGATACTGAAAGGCCGAAACGTTGTAATAAATATGGCAACAAAGATGAGGACATTAGTCTGAATAATGTAAAT